GGGCCCCCGTGGCTCTGCGCATGAATCTATTTTGAATCACCTGAAGTCGGTGTATTTGTTTCGGCGAGATGTGCGCGAATACCGGGCTAGATTGATATAAGTATTTACAAATTTGTATATCGTTTTAACGAGATGTAAATTACAATAAAATGATTCACCTACGATCGCCTCTTCGGAAGTACAGTCAAATTAGTACAACTTTAATCAAGTAATAGTGAAGCACAAATCATCTAATTGCAATGCATTTAAGTTTAAAACCTATCTGTAGAGAGTAGGCATTTCTTGTGCATAATCGTTAAATGATAATTTTGATATCAAATTTAAATTTCTATGTGAATACGCGACTCGTTTAACAAGCTTTTACCGTAACTTGTTTTAAAAGCTAGCACCGTAAGCCCAGTGAAATTGGGGCGGACGAGAAACCTATTAACTTATCGACTAGTATTTTCTAGAGATAACTAATGAATGGAAATTTTTCTCAATAACATGGAGTGTTTATAAATATCGTCACTTAAAAACAGTCTGAAAAAGATCAAGATATACATGAATTATTGCGTAACTGTTTTTCTAATTTAATTTTTTCATCTGTATAATTTTTAATTACGTACTGGCAACAATTAAACCAAAATACAATCGATTTTAAATTGGAATCTAAATAAACCAAGGAAGAAATGTTTGCACCGTTTTACCAAAGGTTGACGAACTTTGTGCGTGACAAAAAACGCAAAATACGAAAAGTTTTATTGAATAAAGACATTTTTATGAAGAAATCGCATTCCTGTATTAAGTACTGAGTAATACGGATTATTATTATTATTATGTTTGAACATTTTAGTATAAATAAAAGTCAATTTTTATTTAATACTTATATTTATTTAACACGTTTAAGGCACCGCAACAATAACTTATTTCGTAGAGTAAAAATCTCATGAAAATATTGACTAGAGGCTGTTAAAAAACAACTGTTAATTTTCACTGAACATTTGCACAAAAACGTATGTTGTGATCACTATCATTCTCTATGAAAAAAATAGAGACAACAAATGTTTACGCACAAATGTTTTGTCTGAGAACTAACAGTTTAAAGCACATTTTTAAGCCTACAATTTTGTGCGACCTTAAATAACAGTCTAAAAACGAAGGGCACTTTATTATTGTATATCTTAGCCATCATCAATGGTCCCAATAAGCCTCAAAATGCATTATTACTATGAATTTTAAACTACAATAAAACGTATACATTGTGAGTACGCTTTAAGGAATCACCGACATTAAAAAAACACACTTAAACATCGTAATATCTATAATACATTAAATAAAAATTATATTTACGAATAAAAAAATGAAAAAAAAAAAAAACTTTCTTTTTCTTGTAAAAACATGTTCGTTTCCTTATCCTATAAATGCACTTTGATATTCTAAATAGTAAATTCAACGTTTATGATTAGAAGTGGGATTATCGCCACCAGCCCTGACGTCTATCTCTCTCTTACCGTTACATCGCAACTTTTCATCGGCGGCCCTGGCGCGTTCTTGTAGGATTTCGACCGTCCGGTTCAATAACTTAATTTCTTCTTGCAACGGATATAACTGCATATTCATTTGCATTAGCTCCTTTTCGTGTGCTAATTGTAAAGTATGAAGCTGTAAGAAAAAAAATCAAAAAATTCATTTATGAAAAAAAAAATTTTAGCCAACTGGAATCAATCTAATCTAAAAATTATTATCACATTATTGTATCCATACTTACGTCTTGTATACGCTTTTTCTTCAACAATATAAACTCTTCATTGGTTCGTTTCAGCGAATCTAGCAAGCTTGACTTTTCTTGTGAAAGAACTTCTTTCTGTTTTCTAGCTTCAGCAAGTTCCATTTCAAACTCATTGGTGACTTTAGCCAGAATGTTCTCGACAGATTTGGCCTGCTTACAGGGTGTTCTCTTTTGTGGATGTAAATTGGCTAACACTGGAAATAAGAATTTTATAAGTAGTTTAAGGATTATTTGTAACTTGGATATAGTCGTAATAATTAAATTAATATTACGTTCAAGTACACATTTTATTTTCGCTGTCGTTTAAATGATTTCGCTATTTATTAAATTGTAACTCACCTTCTTTCTCTTTTTGCAAGTTCCGTAAATTCTTTTTCAACTCTTCTGTTTCTCTATTAATTTTGGAGATTGTTCGTTGCTTCACTGTCAACTCGGATTGCAAACCTTTGATAGTGGCTATGAGATAACTGTCTTCTTTTAATTTGTTCAAAAATAAAGTTGAGTTTTGCGATATTCGGCTAACCGCAGAAGAAGCTCTATCTGGTTTTGAAAATGTCTGAGTCCCAGCTGCATGTCGGTTAACAGCCACCGTTTGAACCGAAGAATCTTTCAGATTAGTTTTATTGACTTTATTTTTAAGGTCCGTATTAACTTTACGATCTTCCATTAATTGTCTTTCGACGTCAATAATGTGGCTCTCATATTTATTTTTCATATCACTAAACTTCTCTTGTAATGTAACAAGTATACTTTGGAAATGATTTTCTTTATCTTTTAATTCCTGCTCCAGTCGCGCAATTCGTTCTTCTAGTAATTTCTTTTTGTTATCTTCAACTGTCGATGATTTTGATGCCACTGAAATACAACAATTATTAAAACTCATTGTATAATTTAAAAGCTTAATATAACTTTTACTCACCAATCAAAGCGGAGACAGAGTCAGGATGTTTACGTTTTAAAATCATTTCCATTTCCTTGACTTGTCTTTGTAAATCATTGATAACTATAATATCTTTCTCGTGTTGAGTAGTTAAACTCTTTCTTTCATTTCTTTCTTTATTCAATTCGGCTCTAATATGAGTTTCACAATCTTTCAATGATTTTAATTCCGAATTTTTATTCTCATATTCTTTAGAAAGCTTATGAATAAATTTTTCACATTCATTTACTTTTAATTCTGCGATATGTTTGTCATTATTGATTTGATCTAGTTTTTTCCTGAATAGTTTATTGTCTTCTGTAAGTTGTACATTTAATAATTCTAGAGATTTCACTCGTTCATTCGTATCTTTTAATTCTTCAATTATATTTTCATGTCTGCACAGTGACCGTTTTGGGGAATTGGTTGTCTTCACTTTACAAACCTCCTTTTTCTTACAATCGACGAACCCGGCGGATAAAGGTCTTTTTGTTTTACGACGATTTTCAGTGTTTTCTTTAACATTCACTTTTATGGCTTCATTCTCCTTAAATTAAGCAAAGATATCATCAATGGGAATGAACTATACAAGTAACGTAGTAACAAATATGGTTAAAAATAACATTACATTCCTTATTAGTAAAAATTTTACTTAGGTCATTGACATGAGATAAGTTAATTGAAATACAATTGATATTTCAAATATTTTTCTTAAATGTACGAGAAAAACTATAAACCTTAATAATAACATAGTAACACTAATTTAGTTAATCGTAAAATACATGTAGAAACATTTACTTTTATCGTATTATGATATAACTGCAAATGAGAGGCAATGACCGGTCATGGCGCCACTACGTCAAGAAGAAGGTTGTCATTCTGGTTCCAAAACAAATACAAAAAGCTCGATGACGTGTTATTAGAGATGCACTGGCTTCACATTCCTATTGCTGATTAAATGAATGTAACTTTGTAGTTTTGCTGCTTCAAAAATATGATTTTTATTTAAATAAAATGCTTTACAGGCTGCATTTTAAAGAACCTCTGAAACTTTAGATACTGCATAACTCCGAACTTCGATTTACTGACAGAATACAGCAGTGTAAAAGAAAGGTTTACGTGGGATGCATCTACTAAAACCCTCTAGATGGTCAACCAAATAAAATAATGGAGGGTTCCGGGATCTCCAAGGAACGCACTGGAAACCTCAGCACTGAAACTTCCTAAGAGAGACAAAACTCTACCTGTGGCTCCACAGTGTAATGGCAACATAGGACCACTCTAAATCACCGTCTTCCCGAGATAAGAAGAATTATTTACAGGACGAGTAAGTGTCTTAGCTGCAAATTAAAATTCGAGTCGCCAAATTTACGTTTATTTTTACCAGGTAACACATAAAACAAATCCCTTGCCTGATAAAAATGAGTCATCTCGAAGTACATCGAAGCGATATCATTGGAATAGAGCTTATAAGTTGGGCACTGGCTGCGCAGGCGCATCAATGCGGCTTGTGCCGTGTTAACCGCAGCTCCGACGTCAGTAGCCATGGAGACGTGGTCCCGGACGGTCGTACTGCTGCTGTTGACCACAGTGGTTACCTGCTCACCACTCATAAACGATCTACCACCCGGACAAGGTACGCTTTCCTTGGACTCGCATAATTTCTTAACTTTAAATATTTATATGTACCATTTTATTTTAAAAATATACGCATCAAGACATGACTTCAAATACCCCATAGTTTTAGTTATCAATAATTGACAAATGCAAATTTAAAACTTAATTTTTCGCAGACCCTAGTTACGCTAAATAGTCTATTTATTGGTGCAAACCCTTTTATTCAAAAGAACGTTATTGGCTATAATTACTCGGTTATGTTAGATAAGTATAATCCTAGATGCAAATCCAATTTGAACTGATATACGAAATCCGTGTCTGGTAACAAACTAAGGCGTGTCATTAGCGCAAAAAAAAACAACGAAATGTACCCGATAACATAATATAGCGACATTTGTTGTCAAATACTGCTGCATATTATCGATAAACAGTGGTATAACTAACAACATTTTACTTGTTTACAAATAAAATTATTACAACACAAGCAATTGCAATGAGTCATGAATCTTGATCTTTTAATATGTTTTAAAGGATACACTTGACAAGTAATTAAACAACCTGTTCCAAAAAAAACACCCGAGTAACTATTTTTTTTTAAGATCGTTTGACCACTATTTTAATATATGTTTAGTTTATTTCTCACATTTTCCTTCTCTATAGGAAAACGAGTTTATTTTTTATTAATTGTATTTGGAAGACATTTAAACTATAGGTTAAGGAAAATATTGCTATTCACGCAAAATATTAATACGTTTTAAAAATTAGACAAAAAACTTACTTTTTCTCTTTGGCCATAAAAACATTGTTGTCTTTTACTTTCTATTTCAATGGAAAGGAAACAATATAAAAAGTTACATACGGTATGTATATCAATTTAAATTCCGATCAGCAATAAGCTGTCTATACCATAAACATCCTGTACCTATGCTTAATATTGTTTTCGTATAACATTAAACATGTAAATTCGTACCATTTTCTACTAGATCTAACTTCTATTTAAATATTTATTTATTATTAAAATTTTAAATTCATTCGTGTTTTCGGTCATGGAAGTGGTGAACGTTAATTCTTTAACTAATGAGAAGGGTGATTCATGTCTCCCATTCTCCTGATTTGTCTTCTTTCGAAAGAGGCAACCCATGTCTAGTAAAAAAAGCAATGAAATTAATTTACACACAACAAAATTATACGCAGTTTTTTGTCAAATGTATTTACCATACAAAATATATGGTAGCGATGTTATACCGTTAGGCAAGCGGAGATCAGGTCAAGCGCCGATGGAAAACAAGCATGGAACGGAGAAAGTCATTATACGTGTCACGCAAGGAACGTTAAATGCATACTAAATGATTCCATATTACATGCGACACATGTCCTGCCAATAAATAAAACACACCTATACGATTTACCAATAAATCAATTGAATAGAATATTCATACGAATTTCACTAATTTATAAAATTATTTGTGTCAGTGGCGACACGATGAATTTTAAATTACCGTACTGTGAGATTCAGTTTCCGTTATCTTTGACACAAAATTATTATTTACTAACTGTAGTCGCGGTTCTGCCGTAACAACAATAACAATTTCAATACCTTCCATCCAGCTTCCGCCATGTTTAATTTGAATTGTTTCCATAAGGTCTAAAATAGCTGTGCATAGATCCGTGTCCAGCCAACAAGCATGCAAAAACAATGCTTATGTTAATACTAAAACAATGATTTACGAAGGTCAAAACTAATACCGTGTATATTTACGTATACTAATAGTAAGACTATAGCTCGAATACTTCCTTTACAGAATGGCCTGCAAATAATTCGGTAAAACAACCATTTGATGATGACCCCGAAACGACAACATTATTAATTTTAACAGAGAAGGAATCGTCTACTCCTATTGGGGAGCCTTTACCTTTAGAAGTCGACAGTCCTGATGAAGCTGGTATTGATGCTTCATTGCCTGTACTAAGAAGTACAGGACCTGAAAGTAGAGTAGACTACACAGGTGCACAAGTTTGGAAGGTTTCCACACAGAATATTAATGTTAGGGGCGTTATTTATCGATTGAGAAGACGAAACTGTAAGTATTAATCATATAACGAAACAATATACGATCTAAAAAAATATAACTAACTTAACATTTTTTCAAACAGTAATTTCCACGTGGGGTGGGAATCAATCTTCGATTGACATACTCGTAAAATCAAATGCAGTGAATAATGTAACGAGGGTTTTCAAACGTGAGAGAATACCGATTGAAGTGGTAATCGAGGATTTACAACAAAGAATCAACGAGGAAAACCCTGAGCTCGATCCAAATGAAGTGGAACTTCAAAACCGTAGAGGTTTGTGAAAGTTTTGAATTATTGTAGACATGTAATTATTTAGTCGCATAAAAGGTGAGCTAGAATCGATTGATTTTGTTGCAGCAAGAGCTTACAATTTTTGGCGTTACAGGGCAAAATATCGACGTCCGAGTTTGGTAGGTGCCTACTTGGGTTACAATTCTATAGATCTTCCAATGGAGTATTGGCCGTATGCGAATTGGGGTTCGTCATAAAATACCGAAAAAAAAATGTGGGCTAACTATCGTTTATTTCTATATTAATTTTGTCTTCTTACGTTTCGGATAGAAAACATTTTGTCGCATGTGTCTATTTTCACTTCATCGTAACTAATATGCACAACTTTTTACTGCAATATTCTTGTGGTTCTAATTTTTGTGGAATACATAGCCCTTTTATTTATATGTTATGTATGGTATTTTTGTGTGTGTGCGCCAATAAATCCTTAGTTATCGCAATTTTTAAATTGAGCATATTTGGTTGTTCTTAGGTCACCGTATGACATGGAAGCAATATCACCGAGTGGAAGACATTCACGGCTTTATGGATTACTTGGCTAAAACATATCCCAAAATTGTCAGCGTTAACACTATTGGAAAATCTTATGAAGGGCGGGATCTGAAGGTCAGTTATCTATATTTTTCGGAAAATGTATGAGAAATGTACCGAATATTGTTGTAGGTGTAATATAAACATAATATTAAATATCTAATAATCATTCTATTTGCAGATTTTAAGGATATCAAATGGCGAACCAACAAATAAGGCTATATTCATTGACGGGGGAATCCACGCCAGGGAATGGATCAGTCCCGCGACTGTCACGTATTTTATTAACCAATTCGCTGAAAACTTCGACGTAGAGACTGATGATATCAAAAATATTGATTGGTAAGTCCATATTAATCTTTCATCAAACAAAATTAAAACTGTACAATACACCGATTGTAATACGTGATTATTTTTTTAGGTATTTCTTGCCTGTTGTAAATCCTGATGGTTATGAATACACTCATCAATCTGACCGTCTTTGGAGAAAGAACAAGAAGCCTAGCAGGACTACTGGACGTACTTGTATAGGAACAGATCTAAACAGGAATTTCGGGTGTGTATTATAAAAAAAACGTGCTTATCTAGATAGTAAAGTTTAGTACATCATTTTCTGTTATTATTACAACTTAATGTTCCTAAAGCCGTTGTTTTATATGTACAGGTATCGATGGGGAGGCAAAGGTTCATCCGGCAACCCATGCAGTGACATCTATCGTGGCAGTAGCGCTTTCTCTGAACCGGAGTCGAAAGCTCTATCGGTACGTTACACATACTAAATATAGGTGGAAAATGTCGTTAATGAGCTAACAGAATACCTCTAGATAAGTTGACTACTCGTAAAAGTTATCGGTGAATACCTGAACGACACTTAAGAAGGAATTAACGTCGCCCATTATGTGGTGTCCATTTTACAACACCAGTATCTTAACAGTCTTTATCTATTACACCATATGTAAATGGTTAATTTATTTTATGGGTTACGGAGAAAATATGCAAGCGGATAAGTTGAGGTCATTGAACAACATCGACAACTTCTTAACGTAAGCGATTGAATTTCCGGCTCAACACTTGAGACATTTTTAAATTAAAAATTGGTGGCAAACAGCGCAATAAATTAGAATTGACACGAGACGGGAGACATGTTCCTTCTCGATGTAAATGGTACTCAGTTATCTTGATAGTATAAACATTTACCGAAAATTCTGGTGTTAACATTTACAAAAATTCTTAACCAGAGATTTTTTTATCTTTCATACTTTACCAAAATTTACAATAAATGTTTATTGTGAATTTTAAAAAATTGCATATATTTTAATAATGCAGGACTTCATCAAGAGCAGTTCGGCGAACTTTACGGCGTACATAACATATCATAGCTATGGCCAGTACCTTCTTTATCCTTGGGGATACGACAACGCAGTCCCTCCAGACTATAAGGACTTGGATGAAGTCGGTAACAGGATGGCATCGGTAAGTTACGCGTTATAATAAATAAAACTGAGGCAAAGCATTTGATTCAAAATAAATAATAATGACTCGTCTTTAATTTGAAGTATTTGAAAAACAACAGCAACAACATTATATAATAAATAATTATAAGCTAGTTTGTGCCCACAATTCCATCTGCATAGATTTTTTTTTTTTTTATTTTGGTATAGATATACCAAATTTAATTGATATCCATCCATATAGGCTTCAAATCCTAGCAAATATCCATCCATTAGTATGAAAGTTTGATAATAAAAATTTCAATAAAATTTTATAACAAAACTAAAATTCAATTCAATTCAATTTCAGGCTATAAGACAAACCCGAGGCTCATCCTACCAAGTGGGCTCTTCAAGTGGACTACTTTACCCGGCTTCTGGAGGTTCTGACGATTGGGCAAAGGGTCAAGGGATCAAATATTCTTTCACCATAGAACTAAGTGACACTGGTCGCTACGGTTTTGTTCTACCCACATCTTTTATTGAGCCAGTAGCAAGAGAATCATTGAATGGACTGCGTGTATTAGCTTCACAAGTAGCTAAACTATAATTTACTTTAGAATAAGCAGCATTTAATAGTTTGTAAGAGATATTTATTAATTTTAAAAACATTTACAATAAATAGTACTGTATTTACTGATAATTTTAAGAGTTGTACAATTAAACTGATTGAAATATTTGACTTGTTGTTTTATTGAATTTTTAAATAACAATTAATTACATCATATCAGATTTAGCCACTAATTTTAAGAATCATGTGTCTATTATTTTGATGGGTTATTATCATTAAAATATTATTTACAATAATAGTTACTTTTTTAAATAAAAATCATACCCTACCTTCTGATGTCCAGTAATTTTATGATCAGTTTCAATTTTGTTTTCGTTGGTTACGTGCTTCGTAACTTTTATTTGAGGTACTTTATCTATCGTATTATATGAAACACCATTCGGTATACTTATAACTGGACTACTATTTAACAAATTCTTGGTCTCATGTGCGATGTCTTCCGCTCTTTTTAAAATCATATCAACGTCCTCAACATCCTCTCCTATTTCAGTATCTTTATTCTTAACCGTTGACAGTCTTTTTAATTCATTGAGTATGTTTCTTATTTCATCGTCACTATCTTTGGATTCGCAAGATTTTTCAATAAGCAAAAATTCCTCATTAAGTATGTCTTCACTGGTAGGACCATTGCTGGCTAAGGAATTATTGGCCATTTTCACTAATTACACCAGTAAAACTACGAGAATGTAACAACCAAAACACAAAATCTTTCTTAAAAATCCAACAGTTTCAATCAAACTTGCCGTTGCTTAGCAACAGCATTGTTTTCGTTTTCCTTTATTTGTTAGCTTCGTTTATCCTAGCAACATTCAACGACGGATACAAAAACGAAAAGAAATAGGAAGAAGAGAAATTAAGTTTTCCTTGTTAATTTACCCTTGCTATCATTCGAGTCAACTCGAACAGGAAAATAAATTGAGTGTAATGAAAGTCTTAATTTCATATATACTCTGTTGTACAGTCAGACGTCAATGTCAGTCACTTGTCAGTTTGACAGTTTAGCGTTATATTTATGTTTACTGTGAATTTAATAAATATTTTGTATTTATTGGCTTTTTCGTTTGGAAAAGTAATTTTCTTCAGACAACAATAGCTTGTATGCCAAAATGTCGGTACCACCACAGGCATTTGTTAATAAAAACAAGAAACATTTCCTAGGGATCCCTGCGCCCTTAGGTTATGTCGCTGGTGTTGGTCGAGGGTACGATTTTCTATACTTTCTTCTCAAGTAGTATTGAACAATTACGATAATAATGTATTTTAATTTTTCAGTGCTACAGGTTTTACTACACGGTCGGATATTGGACCGGCTCGAGACGCCAACGATGTGTCGTAAGTATACTATTCCTTATGCAAGTAAAATTGTTTTACTGAAACATAAAACGGCAATTTACGTTTTTAGTGATGATCGTCATGCTCCACCGGCGGCAAAACGTAAGAAAACAGAAGAAGAAGATGATGACGAAGACTTGAATGATTCCAATTACGATGAATTTTCTGGATACAGTGGCTCGTTGTTCTCTAAGGTATACTTTTAAAGATAATTACCTAGATCATCATATCAATCAACAATTATGTAAACATGTATGTAATATTTTATTAAATTAAATTTTATATACAGGACCCTTATGACAAAGATGATGCTGAGGCAGATGCAATATATGAATCTATTGACAAGAGAATGGATGAAAAAAGAAAGGAATACAGAGAGAAGCGTCTCAAAGAAGATCTGGAGAGATATCGTCAAGAGAGGTAAATGTTTTTTTAATGCAAAGCAATACATTTGATTGAAGCTGTAGTAACCTTTCTAATGGAAGTTGATTTTCTTAATTTTCAGACCGAAAATACAACAGCAGTTTTCAGACTTAAAGAGAGAACTAAAAGTGGTTACGGAAGAAGAATGGGCAGCAATTCCAGAAGTGGGTGATGCTAGAAATAGAAAGCAGAGAAATCCTCGAGCTGAGAAGTTCACTCCATTACCTGATAGTGTACTGTCAAGGAATCTTGGTGGAGAATCTAGTACTTCTATAGATCCAGGATCTGGTCTGGCTTCAATGATGCCAGGAGTTGCAACACCTGGAATGCTTACTCCCTCAGGTAGCATCATTTTTTAACACTTTAACATTAAGAAATATAAAAGCAAGTTGTAATACTTCTTTGAATTCTTTATATTTAGATTGAATTTTTTTAAAACCTGTAATTTTATATTCCAACTTCATAATGACTTGAATAATAACAACTGAATTAATAAAAACGTAAGCTTTTGCCCACGACTTTGTCCACACAGGATTAAAATAACTTATTCAGTGGCATATGCATTATTCCAGACAGACACCCTTACCAAATTTATTTGAGATCCATGCAACTGTTCTAGAGTTTTTTGGGAACAATTATTTATCCATCCAGATTTTCGTATTTATAATATGAAATAGGTCAATATTAAGATTTAAAATCTTAAGTATGATAAGGGTCCGACCCACCAAATTGTTAAATGTCTGATAACAATCCTATGTGTAAAATATGTGATGGAAATATCGGATTTTGTTACCTTATCTGACAGTAACATTATTTTTAAGCTATCTGTTCCTCTATCAGCCAGTGGTGGGACATGCCCTAAGTCTTGTAAATTATTAGTGTACTTTTTAACTTGTTTAATGCATGAACTGTCAAAAACAATCTTCAGAGTATATTTTTATCTACAGGTGACTTGGATTTGCGAAAGATCGGTCAAGCAAGGAACACACTGATGACTGTAAAATTATCTCAAGTATCTGACTCAGTCACAGGACAGACAGTTGTCGATCCTAAAGGATATTTAACTGATCTGCAATCTATGATACCGACTTACGGAGGTGACATCAATGATATTAAAAAAGCCCGCCTATTACTGAAATCTGTAAGAGAAACAAATCCTAACCATCCACCAGCTTGGATCGCTAGTGCTCGATTGGAAGAAGTAACAGGTTAGTTGTTTTTAATTTTAAAATGACATAAAAAGGTATGAATGGATTATATGAGAGGGGATATAATTAAGAAGGGACTGAATTCAGATATGACAACTGATAGAGATATATGGAAGAGCAGTATTTCTGCCAACCCAAATGGACAAAGATTTGTTGATGATGAATTTATAAATGTAACTGACAACTATGTATGACTAAACAGTTATGCTGTAAAACAAAAAACATAGCCAGGGCTACTCAGTGATAATGTAGCTTTTTAATTGTGCCGGTATTATTAAAATCAGTCCAGTAGTTTTTGACTTAATTTTTTACATACATACATAAAATCTTTTCTCTTTTATAAACTTTTTTTTCATATAACCCAAGGTATCAAATATGTACACAGTGAATGTTCCAATAAATAATGTTTCCATCAGGCAAAGTGCAATCAGCCCGTAACTTGATAATGAAGGGTTGTGAGGTTAACCCGAGTAGCGAGGAGTTGTGGCTGGGGGGGGGGGGGCTGCAGCCGCGCGACACGGCGCGAGCCGTCATCGCGCACGCCGCTAGGAACCTGCCTCATAGTGTCAGGATATGGGTCAAAGCTGCTGACTTGGAGCAGGAGACCAAGGTAACATGATTAGTTCACATCTCGATGTAAATGCCAACATGTTTTCGACTGTAATTCTTTTTAAAACAAATTAAGTGCACTCACAAGACTAATTGGTGACATTGAATGTGTTAAACAAAAGAAATAGATAGCTAATATCCTTAGGTATAAGATTATTTTCAAGATCTATGTTAAAAAGTTCATCAACAGCTCACTATACATCTGAAGGGCTTGGACCCAAGTAAGTGTGGGTTGGTTGACTTCACACATATGTTTAAATTTCTTTGCTGATATGTGCAGGTTTCATCACAATGTAAAAAGTTTATATGAAACTTTGCAAATTCTATCTTGCTTCTTAGTAATATATATGCAATAGTTTCATTGTATGGATGTTTTTAGGTGGTATCTTCGGAACTCCTCAATATATCTGGTCGATTTTTTGTACAGATTTAGAAGACTATCTATCAGAATTATACTTAAGTTCCTTTGATTTTTTAATAGAACTTTGTTAAGGTGTCATATTTTTTCAGGCAAAACGTCGTGTTTACCGCAAAGCGTTAGAACATATACCAAACTCGGTTCGTCTTTGGAAAGCAGCAGTGGAATTGGAGAATCCAGAAGATGCTCGTATTCTTCTATCACGTGCTGTAGAATGTTGCCCGACTAGTGTGGAACTCTGGCTTGCTTTAGCTAGACTGGAAACATATGAGAATGCCAGAAAAGTGTTAAACAAGGCCCGAGAGAACATACCAACTGACAGACAGATTTGGGTGACTGCATCAAAACTAGAAGAGGCTCATGGTAAGTAAAACACTAGCCTTCGATTCCATCCGCGTAGAAATCAATAAAAAAGTAAGTAGGCAATGTGTTCTTCCAGACTGCTCTATGTCTATGTTAAATTTCATCGAGATCCGTTAAGCCGTTTAGGCTATCTATAAACTTTAACAAAACATTCATCCATCCATCTAAACTGGAAATGTAGTTTTTGAAATGTTTACTGAACTTAGGTAGGCCTCCCGCAAGATGGACCGATGATCTGGTCAAAGTTGCGGGAGTATCCTGGATGCGGGAGGCACAGGACCGATCATCGTGGCGATCGTTGGGGGAGGCCTATGCCCAGCAGTGGGCGTCATATGGCTGAATAGATAGATAGATAGATAGATACTGAATTTATATATTTAGCTATATCTAGCATACTTCTCTAACTATAAAAATAATATGTTGACTTTCTTATATAAGGCAACACTCACATGGTGGAGAAGATCATAGACCGTGCAATCACATCTCTCAGCGCGAACGGAGTGGAAATCAACAGAGAACACTGGTTCAAAGAAGCAATGGAGGCAGAAAAATCAGGAGCGGTACACACTTGTCAGGTATGAACAAATTGAATACGGCAACACTGGCATATGCCAAAACGAAAAGTATCGGCGACGTCATCGCACTACGCGTATTTTGTCTTTATATTATTATAAAATTCTGTAATATTTCCCAATAAACCATTTTACCAAACAATTGGTCCGGCTCGAAGGATCAATATTTTAACAATTTTTAATTATAATTACATGCATTTTGTATTAGTAAATATGATATGAATAAATGTCCTATTCGAGACTAATTAGAGTTCAAATTCGTTTACCAGGCTATAATACGGGCGATTATTGGACACGGAATCGACCCAGAGGATCAAAAGCATACATGGATGGAAGATGCAGAAGCTGTAAGTTATTACTTGTATAAACTACAATACAATTGCTTGTATAAAATAACTACCCGATCCCGTACGGCTTCAAAATTTAAATGCACAAATGACAAGAAGGCTTTTTCTATTGCATAACAATTATTGTTACCATGGCAACCTTGCTTTGATGTTATTGGCTTGTAGGTTTTTGTTCTTTCCCATACAGTGTTTTTTCCAATTTATTTACCCCTAAATTAAATAGCGTTAGAGTACAAGAAAAGCGGAAAGGGAAAGGTATAAAACTAGGCCTCGGGATCGCACACTCATCAGTCTAACACGCGGAATTACTTCCACTTCACGTCTGTCTTTTGTGTCATCGTGGTTTTGCACCGGGCGAGTTGGCCAGTTTCAAATAGATACATAGCCTATATTTTATATATGAACTAGCTTTCGCCCGCGACTCCGTCCGTGTGGAAAGAAAACAAAAGTGAGTAGTCTATGTGTTCTTCCAGATTGTCCTCTACATCTATGACAAGTTTCATCGAAATCCGTTCAGCCGTTTAGGCTACAAACTCTAACAAACATCCAACCATCCATCTATCTAAACTTTCGCATTTATCAGATTAGTATGATTAAACTACTTAATTATTTAATAAGTTTTATTTAGGCGGAAGTTGAGGAAAGAGCGAGACACATACATAAAAAGGAAAAGCTCAGAAATTAGTTTTCATAACTCACACTACAGATAGATATTTGTTAATGTTTATGTACGTACGCAGTGCGCGCACTCAGGCGCGTACGAGTGCGCGCGCGCGATCTACGGCTACGCGCTGTCCGTGTTCCCCTCCAAGAAGTCTATCTGGCTGCGCGCCGCCTACCTGGAGAAGCAGCACGGCAGCCGCGCCAGCCTGGAGGCGCTGCTGCAGCGCGCCGTCGCGCACTGCCCCAAGTCGGAGGTGCTCTGGCTCATGGGGGCCAAGTCCAAGTGGTTGGCAGGTAGAACTCCGGTTTTAATGTTTACATTTAATGTCGTGTCATGTAGATTCAAGCTATTTATAGTTGTTTGAATACTGTAATAAATATCAAACCTCCACGTCAAAATGTTAATATATAGCATAATGGTTAAGGATCCAGACTAGCAAGCATAAGATCGTGGGTTCGGATCCCGCATTCCGACTGTAATTCCTAGCACAAGCCTAAAGTTTAATTAAAATGGTATAGGAAATATTAGTAAACTAGCTTTCGCCCGCGAATCCGGCCGCGTGGAGTAAAAAAAAAGCAAAATATACTATGTGATCTTCCAGACTATCCTCTACATCCATGATATATTTCATCGAGATCCCTTCAGCCGTTTAGGCTACAAACATCCATCCATCTATCCATCTAAACTTTCGAATTTATAATATTTATATGATATGATACATAATATTAAGTATGATAAACAAAAATCTGCTGATATATTGACAAAAAAACTGTCAGTGAATTAATATTTGTATTTGCAGGGGACGTGCC